CCACACGTTACCTTCATGTGTTCCACACTTCAATTTGCGCAAATTGTGAAACACATGCATTTCATGTGTGAATCATATAATAGATATTATTCCCGAACACTATATATTCAATTGTGATACACTTGGATTTCATGTGTCTTATATTTTGTTATCGAAAGTTTGACACTTAATCATCAAATTTCCCTCATTCACAAGTATATTAACGAACATATCTGGTTCGTGTATCTTACATTTGATAATGAATCAAAACTCATCCCAGCAATATATCATTTCATTTAATGATAATGGTTTTCATCATCAATTCACAATAGATAAAAAACACTGCAGCTGTCTCCAATTGCGTCACTACACCAGGATCCAGGAACCCAAGAATACTGTAAAAGACAGTTATGGAGATGTACAGTTTCTCAGCTTTTGATGTTATTTTCAGTCATTAGGATTTACTAACCATTTCTAATCAGTTTTCTGTTTTAAAGATGATGTCTAATGAAGCCTAAAATATTTTTTTTTTCTGTCAGATAGAACTGATCATTGTCTCGCTGCTGGGAAAAGTGATTATTGTCAGTAAATTAAAGCGTAAATTAATATTGTGGGGTACCTGGAATCTCTCGTAAGTGTACTGTAGCAGCAACATACATTGGCATTGATTGTTACTCTGTTTAATACTTCTTTTGACACTCTTCCTGCTACTGATGAGATTCATGTGCCATACACGTTAAATACGATAGTAGAAAACATTAGAACAGATCATATACGGAGGTTCCATAAATTTCAATAAGTAAACACATGAAATTATGGTGTAGCTAGGACATGTGATTTTTGGACATTGATGCCATGAAATGCGAATGTACTTCACATGATATCATGGTGACTGGTAAATGGCAAAATTCATATTTGAAAACACATGAATGGAACGTGTGGATTTTTTTTGAGTGCACCATAGCAATACACGGTAACCACAAAATACCCAATAATGACTACAAAGTAAGCATTTTCGAGGGAAACTGGGTCTACCCATTAAATGAGTAAAATTTTACCCATTTATGAGTAATTACAACTACAAAAACAAGTAGTAAGTATTCATTTTTGAATAACAATTGGGTTCTTTAATTTTGAAAAATGTATCAGTTTTTATACATCATCTGAAAGAGCTTCGTTTTCTGAGCACAGCTATATTTTTTTCGAACCCACACACTTTCATCTTAATTTTTAAATCAAGACTGAAAACAAAACAATAACTTCACTGTTTGACACTAAACTAACAAACTGACAGCTCGCTCTCATATAAAATGACACCGAGGGGCGCTAATAAGGTGATTTTTGCAAATGTAATCGTACTTATTTAAAATAGTTCCAGTGTACCAAAATTGATGAAATTTTGGGTTTGGGTTCCACTGTTAATGCAGATTACGAATATGCATTTACCTCAATACCCTTAAAGAACCCAATTACTCATAAATGGATAATATGTTTACTCATTTAATGGGTAGTCCCAGTCTCCCTCGAAAATGCTTACTTTGTAGTCATTATTGGATATTTTGCGGTTACAGTGTAAGGTGATCCAAGAGACGTTTCTCAGTGGAACTGGCAGCAAGAAATCTAGAGTGTGTGAGTGATCTGGTGTTAATGGTGCTGAATGTAAGCATAAACAATGCAGAAATTCATATGAGAATAATCTGCCAGTTCTACTGTGATCTGTCAAAAGTTGCTGATAAACAAAAAAGTCAGCTAATCGCAGCTGTCTCGTCGACAGCCTTATAGTTCGTTGATATCGTTCTCTAGGGTGAGGCAGTCGAGTACGGTCGTGATGATGAAGATATACGAGGGTACAGATCGTTCACGAAAAGAACAAACACACATGATGCAATTGTGATGGCTCTCAAACGCGTGGAATTAATCGAAACGAAGGGCTGTCGGTGTTTCAAGTAAAAAAGAATCCAATCAGTTAACCAAGTAGGGAATCCCAAGGGTTTTTAGTTTCTCGGTTGCGTACAGATGTGGTACAGTGGCAAATGTTTTTGAAACCTTCACGTAGAAGGAGTCAACCTGTTTCCGGGATTCAACCTCTCGAAACAGTGTATTAAGCTGGGCTTAGACAGGGCAAGTCAATTGATCGAGTCGGTTGAATTCAACTGACTTGAACACGAATTGAACGTGTAAACCATGCCATTCAACTGACTTGAATTGAAAAAAGTTGAACCAAACTCAACTTTTCAAGCCAATTGAATTCAACTGAGTTGATCATTTGACTTGCCTAGTCTAAACCCAGCTTTAGAGTAGCACAGTAGGTTTGTAGTAGTCGAGCAGTGCTGGACAAAACCGTGCTGTAATTCCAATATTACTGGATGAACCGCAGTCTAGACAGCATTGTGGACTAACATCTCAAATACCTTTGTTATACAGCTGAGAAGCGATATCCCACGGTAGTTCTCAACAAGGTTTCAATTACCTGCTTTGTGAATTGGTACGATGGAAGCAATGTTCCAAGCACTAGGGAAAGTTTGTTCACTCATTGAACGGTTGAAGATACAGGAAATCGGAGAAGCAAACAAGCGTGTGCAATTTTGACGTAGGACTACGTCTGTGATTTCTATATGGGTGTACACTTTGCGAAAACCGAAAATGGAACATGTAACAAAATTATGAAAGATTTTGAACGTTAATAATTCAGCTGCCCCTGCACCAATTTCAATAATTTTACTACCAATGGATCAGAAATATTTCTACGCATCTGTTAAATAAAGGACTTTTTCATTTTTCAAAATGTTGCTATTGAAAATCGCACGAATTTACAATTGTTGCTATGATAATTAAAATTATCACCAAATTCCCTAACACAGATTTCAAAGTTGAATTCGATCCGGTCTCACCACCAAACGGTATTTATTCAATTACCGTATGGTGAGAGGTGGAGTTCTCAAGTACACAACGAAAGGCTTCCTGCAAGCAGTGAGCAGCACACATGTGCATCCATAGAATGAGGAAGTAGCCACACCGCTATTGATCGGAATCAGTAGCTCTTCGTGAGTCGCTGTGGGCCATATATGGCAAGCAGGTCACCCTCATTTCAAACAACATACAGCTCATTAGCCCCATATGTGTTTAACACCCTAATAGCTCAGCATTACTCAACAATCACGACAAAACGGTCCTTTTCAGGACCACCATAAATTTGTTAAAGAGAATTGTTTGGACATTTGTCAAGGTCATCAATCGGATGTCAGTTCCCATATCAAGATAGAGCTGGAAGTTGTTCTGTAAACTGCAGAAGAGCTAGGTGTGGTACCGTCGAGTGCAACTGTGATTGGAAAGGGTTAGCAAGACCGCTGCAATTTCACGAACTTCCAAAATGCCTATGGGTTTTGCTTTAAGTTCGATTGCGTTCGGTCATCATATTTCTTACAACTCGATTCTAGTGATTTGTTGTATCTGCTTTCGATCAGCCAAATATTTTGTTTGCTTCCATTGGTTCTATAGTGCTGAAAAAACGTTTACGAGCCTTACGCAGAACGTTTCGCAAACTGCACAGCTCAGTGGTCCAGCAGGGTTGGACTGATGTAGGTCTGTGTCTGTTGAACGCCGTCTGAGAGGAACTCGCTTGTAGAGAGTTTTGTATAGTTTGTTGTAGTAGAGGTCTGCGAAAACATCAACAGAATCACCTTCCAGAAATTGTGCCAAGTTTATAGCAGACAGTTCGCTGTCCAACGATTAAAAATCGCAAAATTTAGGTTGTTGGTCCGCTACTTCGGGCGCTCTGAAGTGAGTGTCAACTTTTAAAATGATTTGCCTTTGATGATGGGCGATATCCAGTAACGAGACCGGAGGTTCCAACAGCTCGACAGCATCCGGTTCGCTGATGAAAGCTAACTCTAGAAGCCTACCATTAGCGGCGCCGATGATGTAGTGGTTAGTGTGATTACCTCTCACCCCAGGAGGCTTGGGTTCAATCCCAGTCGGCGCCGCCGGGATGTTCTGAGGCATAACATCTCTGATCACGCTTTCCTTCAGAAGTGAAGTAAAGCCATTGGTCCCCGGTTCATGAGTTGATGGGTCGATAAGTAGGGTCCAGGTGTGAGAGCTGCCTCCCTGGTGTCGGTAGCATTGGTGCTCAGCAAGGAAAACAAGGACGACGGAAAACAAAATCAAGGAAAAAAAAGCCTACCAATAGCTCGCTACATTTAATCGGTTCCGTGAGAGCCAACTCCTGGTCCGTGGACGCATTAGATGGTAAATAACCATTCATCTCTTCGTCAAAGTTCAAATTTAGAAACGGAAAGTTGTAATCGCCCAACGCCATGATGATGTCGGTGCTTGAAGATGTGTATGAATCCGGACTGGAAAGCGGACGCAAATATGTTCCAGTGATGAACAGCGAGCGAAGTAACAGAATTACACGACTGCCTAGATTTGACAACGATTAGGACACCACCGCCCCTGGTGAGCTTACTTGTAGCTTGACTGCGATCACAGCGGAAGATGTGATAGTTTGACGAAATCTCACAATCTTGAATGTTCAGTCATTTCGGTTTCGGTAAGACTACTTGGATGATTAATGCCACTGCTGATATTACAGGAAGAAACGCTCGTTTCCCTGGTTGAATACTGAATTCTTGCGGTCGATATGGTTGACACATAGTCCTGAACCCCAGCGCTGGAATTGTAATGAATATCAGGGAACGACAGATCTATGGACGTTAGGTAGTTACCTTGAAGAGCAGGCTGGAAAACCCCTTCCTTAGCCACAGATACAGGACATCCGTTTGAATGAGGTTCCTTTGTTAGCAGTACTCAATTTTCTTAATTATTTGTTTTTGAATTTGTGAATTAACAGCACTGCAATAGACCCTCTAGACAGCGATAATATATAGTTTGTAACATCCTTAAAATAAATATATCGGTAATAATGAGACTAATTGTGCCACATTTCAATCACCGAAATCATCGATACAAATCATGAGCTGATAAACTAATCGCTTTCCTCACCCTCCCTTTCATTTCAGTACTTTCGTACGATCAACACGCGCGTATCGGTTGTATATATAGAGACGTGGCAGGGCCAGAACCAGGCGCAGATCGACGGTGGAAAGGATATTAGTAAAGCAATATCTAATTTTAATGATTATACAACTAGGAATTTATATAAAATAGATAAGGATACGACGCAGCTGCTAACGTAAGTACTCGTGATTGATTTTCGCCTTTCTTATCACAGAGCAGAGCGTAACCGTTTGTGTGCGTCTTTCCAGGGGTGAAACGTTTGCCGGTGGCGAAGCGGGCATGTCCGTGCCGGAAACCGTCTGCACTACGAAGGCCGTCGGTATTAGTGTAGATTTCAATACGTACGAGCCGCATCTGCTCGCGGGAACGATGGCGCACATGATTGGACACAACATCGGCATGGGTCACGATGATAACCGTAAGTAGCAGCAGCAGCAGTAGGAAGATATGGGTACTAAAATAACTTAGCTTCAGGTTGCACTTCCGAGTTCTTTAGTCTCTAAAGCTCCTGATCCAAAGACCATTTTCGTTTGTTTCTTTATCTTTGAAAATCATACAAAGCTTACACACAAGCATGCACGGACGATCAAACAAAATTGAAACGAGTCGACTGAATTTCGTCAAAAGTGGATTTACTCAAAATTGAGTAGAATTTTACGAGCTTTTTCAGGGTAAAACTTCTCGAATATAAGGAAAATCGATAGACTGAGTTAATTTTTCAAGGATTTTCCTCAAATTCGAAAAGTTTTTCCCACTTTTGAGTAAATCCACTTTCGACGAAATTGAGTCAACTATACTCCGTGTGCACCTACGGACAAAAGCAATAAAAGATTCACCACCGCCGGGATTCCTTTGTGTGTCCTCACCATTGTAAAGCGGTTGCACGCCCCTCGCTTGCCATCAAATAGCCTCGAAAATTGCGAGCATGTGTGACCGACCGCGCGTTCTTCTCGCTCCGCATTCGACCCCAGCCAGCTGTGCTATGCTGCCATCGCACAACTCGCTCGGATTCGATTGTTTATTCGACGACATTCATTGCACTTTTTCATATATCGACAGGCTGGCTGGTGTGTTGGCAAGGAATATGATCCCTCTCGCGCCGGATTGGAAAACGTCATACGTATATGTATGTATGCTGCGCTTATGTGTGTCAGCAGAATTCACTGAATGGGAAAAAAGAGCCCTCTTTGAAATCGGAGAAAGCTCCAAACCGAAACCAGGCCAGTGCTATTGACACTGACCAGACTAAATTGCTGGTGCGATGGGGGTTTGGTGTGCAACTGAAGCCGTTTAAAAAAGAAACGTCCTGCTGTTTGCGCTCATTTTTTCTCGGCACGCAACTGTCAGGGTCCCGCACCAGCCTTTATATTCAATGCAGTCTACTGACCAAATATTTAAAATCTTATCATTGCTTCAAATTCACATTGTAATTAATTAAATACTTCAATTACTGTCAAATATGGATTGTTTGATTATTTCATAATAATATAATACTTTCTATACCGTGTAAGGTATTTGAATTAAAATTATTACAGTTTTTTTAATATTTAAATTCCTATAAACGTAGTTTTAATACGACGCACTAATTTTGCTTAGTTTTTCCCGTGCCCGCAACTTGTTTCTGTATCAACAGCTTCTGTTCGGTAGTCGAAAAACGGTCGCTGCTGTTTCTGGCTTTCACTTGCTTGATCTTCTTTCTTGTTTTTTCAGCCCTTCTAGGTCATCTCGTCGACTGTCGACACTTCCTAATTTAGGTCCTCAATTGCTTCCGCTGTTGCACCAATTTATTTTTTCATATATACAGCACGTGCACCAGTGTACATGTTGAGACACAGCTATGATGGGAATTTTCCCCCGATGAAGCACTTCACTTCACCGTATTTTCCTAGCACCAACACTAGATCACGATCTGATGGAAACTTAAAAACTCACGCGCATTGAACATAATCTACAGCATGCGCTACCTTTCGATGCCCAATTTTTCAATATCATTATACACTCAGGTCTTTTTTTACACGGGGGATACGTACCGTGTAAAAAAAAACCGTGTAAAAAAAAACCCTACAAGATTTTGATTTTTCGCATGCTTAAATGTTTTTAAAAAATCGGATTTGAATGCCATTTTTAATTAAAGCATGATATGGTCCATATACACCATTTACACCAAAAATTGTAATTTTTTTTAAGTATGCCATTCGATTACCAATAGCTTGAAACGGATAATGTGATTGGAATCAAATCGATAGGTTGTATCGTTGTCGAGAAATCGTTAAAAAGGTACCGTGTAAACCGTGTAAAAAATATATGTTGCAATAAGGAACAAAACTATCAATTTTAACGAAATTTTGAGAACCACTGTATCGTTTTGCTATGGAATGACTGTATAAGTACATGCAATTCAGTTCCCTCTAATTGACACTGGAGTATGAGTTAAACTTTTCTGCTATTAGCATGTCATGAAACTTAAAACGAGAGTTGATCCCAGACCCTGATAAGACAAACAATTCATAGAACATCCCAGAAAAGCCTGGAGTTTTCCTGAAGTTCTGGGAATGTTTCGTAAATTTCTCTGCACTTCCTTGAGATTCTCTTGACATCCTCGAGATTTTCAAGACTTCCTCGAGATTTTCAAAACTTCCTCGAGATTCTCTTGACTTCCTCGAGATTCTCTTGACTTTCTCGAGATTCTCAAGACTTCCACGAGATTCTCTTGACTTCCCTGAAATCCATTGTACTTTTCTAAAGTCCTCAGAACTTCTAAAAGTTCTCTCAATTATCTTGAAGTAAATGGAACTTTTTGAAATTTTTGAACCTACCCAGATGCTCACGGAACTTTCATTTTCCAGATATTCATAGAACATCCCAGAGAAGCCTGGAGTTTTCTTGAAGTTCTTGGAATTTTTCGTAAATTACACTGGACTTTCTCGAGATTCTCTTGACTTCCGCGAGATTCTCTTGAATTTCTCAAGATTCTCTTGACTTCATCGAGATTATTTTGACTTCCTCGAGATTCTCAAGACTTTTTCGAGATTCTCAAGACTTCCTCGAGATTCTCTTCTCTTCTCTTCCCTGAAATCCACTGTACTTTTCTAAAGTCCTCAGAACTTCTAAAAGTTCCCTCAATTATCTTGAAGTAAATGGAACTGCTTTGAAGTTTTTGAATTCACCCGGATGCTCACGGAACTTCCATTTTCCAGATACTCATAGGACATCCTAGAAAAGCCTGGAGTTTTCTTGAAGTTCTCGGAATTTTTCGTAAATTACTCTGGATTTCTTCGAGATTCTCTTGACTTCCGCGAAATTCTCTTGAATTTCTCGAGATTCTCTTGACTTCCTCGAGATTCTCCTCACTTAACTGAAATTCACTGTACTTTTCTAAAGTCCCCAGAACTTCTAAAAGTTCCCATAATAAACTATCCTGAAATAAATGGAACTATTTTGAAGTTTTTGAACCTACCCGGATGCTCATGGAAATCCCATTTTTCAGATATTCAGAGAATATTCCAAAAAAGGTTGGAGTTTTCATGAAGTTCTCGGAATTTTTCGTAAATTTCTCTGGATTTCCTCGAGATTCTCAAGACTTTCTCGAGATTCTCAAGACTTATTCGAGATTCTCTTCTCTTCTCTTCCCTGAAATCCACTGTACTTTTCTAAAGTCCTCAGAACTTCTAAAAGTTCCCTCAATTATCTTGAAGTAAATGGAACTGCTTTGAAGTTTTTGAATCTACTCGGATGCTCACGGAACTTCCATTTTCCAGATATTCTTAGAACATCCTAGAAAAGCCTGGAGTTTTCTTGAAGTTCTCGGAATTTTCGTAAATTTCTCTGGATTTCTTCAAGATTCTCTTGACATTCGCGAGATTCTCTTGAATTTCTCGAGATTCTCTTGAATTTCTCTAGATTCTCTTGATTTCCTTGAGATTCTCTTGACTTAGCTGAAATTCACTATACTTTTCTAAAGTTCCCAGAGCTTATAAAAGTTCCCACAATTAACTATCCTGAATAAAATGGAACTATTTTGAAGTTTTCGAACCTACCCGGATGCTCACAGAACTCTCATTTTTCGTATATTCAGAGAACATCTTAAAAAAGGCTGCAGTTTTCATGAAGTTCTCTCTCAATTTTTAGTAAATTTCTCCCCTAATAAAAATAACCATAAAAGAGAGCTTAACGACGTGTTCGGGGTATCATCCAAACCACTTGTGGGATAGTTTACCCATCCGGGATACAGTTCGTTTATGGTATTTGTTTATTAGGGTCTGGACTTCCTTGAGATTCTCTTAACTTCTTAGAGATTCTTTTGACTTCCTTGAGATTCTCTTGACTTCCCTGAAATTAACTGTACTTTTCTAAAGTCCTCGGAAATTCTAAAAGTTTCCGCCATTATTCTGAAGTAAATGAAATTGCTACCCACATAGATGCTCATGGAGCTTTCTTTCAAATATTTAGACTTTCCTGAACTTTTTTGGACTTCCCACAGCTCCCACAATTTTTTTCAATTCAAGGAGGTTCCTGAAGTTTACAAAATTTCCCAGAAGTTCTCGCAACTTTCCTAGAATTTTTGAAATTTTTCTGAAGCTCACAGAACTGCCCTGAACTTAATAGAACAGTTTTAATAATCCCTAAGCTTCATTCATAACCTCTGAACTGTCAAAAATTTTATGAAGTTTCCACCTCTCTGAAGTTTTGTGGATTACATAAACATTTGGGTGCGTCTCGAAATTCTTCGATATTTTTCCAAAAAAATTAAACTGCAAATCATCTTCCCTGAAGCTCTCCCAACTTGTACGCTACTTCTTTAAAAATGGTTCCCGCATTTTCTCGATTTTCACGATTTTTTATTTTGAAGTTCTTTTTATGAATATCTATGAAGTTCCCCAAATTCTCTGGACTCCTGTGTTCTTGAAGATTTTAAGGTTCCCTTAATTTTCCTGAAATTTAAGTGAAACATTTTATGAAGTTCTTAGGTTGTTATTGAAATTCTCTAAATTTTTCTGAAATAAATTAAACTGCCCATATAGGTATAATCGGATTTAATTCTACAACATTTTAGAACTTTTCATAACAGTCTAGACTTTACTATTCAAAAGACCTCTGAACTTCTTCTACCCTTTTGAGCCCACGTGGTCATATATGACCACGCGCTAAACTCAAAGATTTTTAGCAAGGGATCATACACTGCCATGTTAATTAAACCTAATTTGACAATTCTAAGTTTTCCAAATTGTCCAGGAGTTCAGGCTGTATGATCTACTGGATCAACCAAGGCCTGCACGTTATCCATAGTGATGACACCTACCCAAGTACGTTCAATGAGTTTTTGTACATCACTTATAATATATTTAGATGTATATAAGATGCTCAAGGTTCTCCAAATTATCATGGAGTTCAGATCAAATGACTGATAAAATCCTCTTA